AGATAAACTTGCCAACATTGACACTAGAAGTAATCAAGAATCTAACATTCTTCCAAGAATAGCAAGAAAAAAAATCCATATAGATTCCAATAGGCTACATGAGTTTTATTAATGAGTTCTACTTCAGTTTCAATGAATATAAAATCCTAGCTTTATATAAACTATGTAAGAAAATTAAAGAGAACGATTTCAATCTCCTTTTAGTTACTATTATAACCTTGATACCAAGAATCTAAAAAACAATGTTATTAGAAGAATAGCTACTGATATAAACTAAATGTTCAACAAGGCACTGTGAACTGTTCTAAGAGGTTATTTGGATTATTTCAGTTAATTTCTTCCAGAAAACCACTATGTGGTGGATACAATTAGTAACTCCATTTGGAGGTAAGGAATCTGAGGCATAGGGAGTGTGACATGCCCAATATAATAATTGAAATGGCAGAACAATAGTCTAATTTCAGAGCCTGTGTTCTTAACCATTTCACCATTTCCCTTCTGCCATTTTTATGTAAATAATGAAGAATGAATAATGCCAAGAATACTAATAAATTATTAGCACACCTAATAATTAAGAAAACTTTTAAAAGAATTTAGTCAGATTTAAAACCCACTCATGATTTTTTAAAAAGCACTTAGAACACTAGTCACAGAAGGAAACTTTTTCAATCCGATAATGGGCATCTATTATAAGTAGACATATTATTATAGTGACTTAAATTTTCCATTAAATTCAGGAGAAGAAATGGTTAGCCCTATCATTGTGTCTATTCAACAAGGTATTGGAGATTATTCCAAGTAAAAATAAGTTAATAAAGAAAATTAAATGTGTAAGAATTATAAAGAAGAAAAAAAACCTCTGATTTTCAGACAATGTTATTATCTACACAGAATTCATATTAGAATTGAAAAATATATCAGAAAGATTCCTAGACAAAAGATCATTATAAAAAAATTTGTTGCACTTTTATTCCATTCACATTAGCACAAAATGCATTCATTTAATAGGAACTTACTGAGTATCTACAATGTACCAGGCACTGAATTATACACTAGAATAGTATGCATAAGACTTTTATGGAGAAAATTATGAAAATTTCTGGAAAGATATGAAAGAAAAACCAAATGAATAGAAAACAACATCATGTAATGGAGGATTCAATATTCTGCAGAGGATGACTCTCTAAATTAATGAAAAACTTCAGTAAAAGTGCAACCCATCCAAAAATAATTTTGATTGGAATTTGACAATATGATTTTAAATCCATTATGTAAAAGCAAAGGAACAGAATATTTCAAATAATTTTAAAGAATAGGTCACAGACATTTATTTCCATTTATATCAAAAATTATTTTTAAATTATACTAATTTAAGAGAGTGAATCTGGGTAATAAAGTTCACCTTGGAGTAAGAGGGTGGGAGTCAACAGAGAGAGATTTTTTGGGGCCCTACACTGGCTGAGAGTACTGATAACACATCTACTGTCGGCTTGGTTTTGTCAAATCATAAAAGCAAATTCTCTGCCACCCCTCATGAAGAATCCCTTCATGAAGGAACACAGTCAGCCTGTGTCTGGACCATACAAGTAGCTTCTTGGCAATAGTCTAGAAAACTGAATATCAAAGAGAAGAATCTTTCAAAACCCCCTGCAGAAAAGGCAGCCTAATCAGGAAACAAAATAGAAACTGAGCTTTACCCAGGAGGGTAGGGAGAGACACTTCAGAGAGGACAGCCAGTCATAGTGACCTTGAATGACCTGAGTTAACCGGAGGTAGATGCTTCAGAAACCCAGGATGAGCCATTCGCCACAAAGTGATTCAAGGCAGTGGCATTAATTAATCTCCTGGGAAAGCAGAATCAGCCTTTTCATTTTCTCCACCTCCATTCCCTTTTCTCCAGATATTTGGAAGAGATTCCATTGGAATGATCCTTTCCCTGGGGCTGAGAAGTTAACAGTCAGCAAGCCAGATTAAGGCAAGAGCTCAGTTTATTTCGGGCATGAATATTAAATGGGATTTATGACCAATGGAGTACTTGTTAATTCTTTCTATTAGTAGAGCAATTCATAACAGCAAAGAAAAGGGCTTCCCAGTACAGACAGTAATGTCCTTAGTCTTTTCCCTTGGAGAAGGCCAATTCATTCATTCTTGTTCTCTCTCTCTCTCTCTCTCTCTCTCTCTCTCTCTCTCACACACACACACACACACACACACACACACACACACACACACACTACTTTATCTAAGGAAACCAGACTGCCCTCAGCTTGTGAACCCACAGCTCCCACTAATTCAAGCAGGAGTTGTGGGCATGCACTGGGAGGCAGAATGTGACCTGTGTCCTATTAATAAGTCCTACACCATAGGAATGGAATTTGCAGTTAACAGAAAAAGTCCTATGTTCCAGCCATTTTCTCAAGGACAGAGAGCAGCCAGAGCCCTCACAGGGCCAGATGTTTGTTAGCAAGGCCCCTACTTCTAGCCCAGTCACCCATCATTTTGTGCTGCCACATAAGAAAGAATAGTCTCTCTCCCCTATATAGCTATTCTGTTATTACTGGGCTTTTGAGGTCAGAGGACTTAGCAACTTTGTCCAAACCACCCTAAAAAGGTGGCTCAATGTTTAGAAGTGGATCAGCTCTACCAGAGCTCAGGATCAAGTAATGCAGGAATACAGAGCAGGCTGACTCCTTTCTGCTTAACAGTTCTCATTTAGAAAGTGTGAAGGTTGGCCAGCTGAGGTGACACACACCTGTAATCCCAGCAGCTCAGGAGGCTGAGGCAGGAGGATCTAGAATTCAAAGCCAGCCTTAGCAAAAGTGAAGCTCTAAGCAACCCAGTGAGATCCTGTCTCTAAATAAAATACAATATAGGGCTGGGGATATGTATCAGTGGTCGAGTGCTCCTGAGTTCAATCCCCACAAAAAAAGAGAGTGTGAAGGTTGATATAGGTGATATACAAGCCAACCAGGGAGAAGAAGATAGGGACAATACATCAATAACATTCATGGAAATTGTAATGACACATTCCATCCCACATTCTGACTTGAGTGGTTCCTCTCTTAAGCTATCACTCCATCAAGTCCAACTTACCAGCTTTGATATGTTTTCCTTCATTAACAACACCCCCCAAAATAAAAACAAATGAAAAAATTAAAAATTAAAAAAAGAACACTTGAATATTAGAGGTTTCAGAAGGTGACTAAATAATACTGGCTTTTAATTATTCATTCTGAATTCATGCACTCAATACTTTTTTGAGTGCTATAAATCAGGTACTGTGCTTGGTTCTAGAACAATACAGGAGGGGAAAAAATGGATAACAGGTGACAAGAGGCTACATGGGATCTGTGATGGGTGTGCAAGGGCAGAGTACAGACAAAATTGCAGGAGAGTTTTGCTTTAGGCTGAAGAACAAGTGTGTAAGGTATATTGGTGATGCTTCCCCTAGTTCTTGGCATGTTGCCCTTCATTAACAACACGCCAAAAACATTTTAAAAAATGAAAAAAGTTAAAAAAGTAAAAGAAAAAGAACACTCCAAAATCAAGGTCAAATAAATGTTCTCTCTGATATGTGGATGCTAAGACACAACAAGGGGTGGAGGGAGGAAGAAAAGAAGTTCAATGGATTAGAAAAGGGGAATGAAGGGAAAGGAGGGGTTGGAAATAGGAAAGACAATAGAATGAATCACAAATAGCTTTCCTGCATTCATTTGTGTATACACAACAGTGAATCTCCATGTCATGTGCAATCCCAAGAATGGGATCCTAATTAGAATAAGATATATTCCATTTATGTTTAGTATGTCAAAATATACTTTACTATATCTAAAAAGACTTTTTTAAAAAACATTTTAAAAAACAACAACACTCCAAAAAATTTTTGGCATCACCACAATGTTATGGCATCAATCTATATCTGAAGCATCTCATTTTAACTAAATAAAATAATGATTCCAATAAAAGGTGCTCCATTTTTTGAAATAAGCCATGAATAATTTAACTGCTTAAAACATTTTTAATCACAAAAGTAATGCATATTTTCCATAGATAATTTTTAATATTTAAGAAGAAATAAAGAAGTGAGCAGGAATCAAGCTAGTAGAGGAAACAAATCATATTTTGGTATTTTCTTTTATTTCCTATGGAAAGAATTTTGATTTGTACATATGTTAGATCACATCTTGTACACATAATTTTATAGCCTAATTTTTTCACTTAACATTCTATTGCAAGCAATTCCCACATTCTTAAATACTCTTAGAGAATAACATTTTTAATGGCTGAAAAACATTTCACCATTATAGATAGGCCACAATTATTTCAACTATTTCTCTACTGCTGTAAATTTAGGTCACATCCATTCTTTTGCTCTCCACATGACAATGCACATTCAAGTACATAAATCTATCTGCCATGATTACTTCTTTATGATAAATTTCTAAAAGTACAAAAATTGGAACAAAGATCATCCATATTTTTAGTATTCTTGCCACATATTGCTTAATTTCTCTAGAAATACAAAAACTACCTACTATACACTAAATAATAAATATTTATCAATCAATCAATGAATAAACAAATGATTTTTAGATTCCACATCAAACTCTTGCTAAAAGTTGCCATACTTGAACCATAAGAAGCTAAATAATCTTTGTGGAAGTAGAAAAACACTTGGATTGGAGGAACCAGTAATATCACTGAAAATGCAGACCATGAATCATGTCAAGAGTTGAGTTATATATGTCATCTGATGGAAAGCTGTATAGCCAAAATAATGTTGCAGAAGTGTAGTTATAGTACTCTCCCCTTATCTGCAGGGGACACATTTCAAGACCCCAAGTGGGTGCCTGAAACTGCATATAGAACTAAACCTGATATTCACTATGCTTTACCGTATACATGCATAGGTATGATAAAATTTAATTCATAAATTAGGCACAGTAAGAAATTAATAACAATAGCTAATAATAAAATAGAGCAATCACAATAATGTTCTGCAATAAAAATTATGTGAATGTGCTCTTTTTTTCCCCTCTTGCTCTCAAAATATCTTATTGTACTATATTCACCCTTATTCTTGTGAGGTCTATGTGATTAAATGAAACAATGTTTATGTGATAAAATGATACAATGTCTATGTGATGAAATGAAATGATGCAACATTAGGCTACTAATTAACGGTTACCTATACAACAGTAGTTCTGATAACTGAGACAGCTACTAAGTGACTAACAGGTGGGTAGTATATACAGCATGGATGCTCTGGACAAAGGAATAATTTGAATCCTGGGTGGGCTGGAGAGGGAACACACAAGATTTCATCATGCTGTTTATAATCATAGATAATTTAAAATTTATGAGTTGTTTATTTCTGGAATTTCTCATTTACCATTTTCACACTTTGACACTGATCTTAGTAACTGAAAGCAAACCACAGGTAAGTAAGGACTATCCTAAAGGCAAGACAGTTTTTAAAATCACCCCCCCCCAAAAAAAAAAACTAAAAAATCCTTTTGTAGACTCAATATCAATTTGTTTGAAGATAAATGTGTCCAGAGTTAAATTTGTAATTTATGAATACATAGACAGCATGCTAATTATTCCCTTAATGATTTGGCTATTAAGAGTCTAGAGTGATAACAAAATCAATATACCATAATCCCAGTTTACAACACAAAACCATTTTAGGATATAAATGTTGAAAGGATGGCATATCAGAGTGATTTGGCTTTATGTTAAGGAATTATACCAGTTCATTGCCTTCTAAACAATTCTAGTGAAAAATCAATCTCTTCCCAATGCTGTATTTTTTTCTTTAAGATTATTTCTCTCTGAATCAAATAGGTCAAGAATTAAACCTTGCTGTCTCTGCAGTGCCTTTGTGTATTAGGATAAACACAAATGAGATGAGCTGTCTGTCATAGTTGTGCTGATGGCCTCAGACATTACAACTAACTTTCTACTTTAGGAGTCCAAGAGAAAACAAGGCCCTGAACTGATTTTGTGGGTACAGTGGAGAGTCAGATGGAGCATGCATTTGTTTTATGCTTGAGGAGTACGTAGGAAAGACAGACATAAATAAAAAGGTGTGCTAGTATTAGCGATTTATTTCAGTTATTTGTTGGATGTCATGAGGAAAAAAAGTTATAAAACAAACAGCAATTTAGTGACTGTTTCTCCTACCATAATTAATTCATAACTGCAAATTATACACATTATTATTTTATAAAGCCTTTCGAAAGCAAGTAAAGGAAAAACAGCTTGGCTGCCCCTAGGATAATTTTGCTTTGATGCCAGTTGAATAAAAGGAGAATCATCTGAGAGATTCATAACATGATCAATTGAGGCCTGGATGAAGGCATGGATAGTGTCAGGGAGGGTGGCAATGTACAACGTCACACTAACAGGGCAGCCGAGAGAACCGAGCAGATGAGGACAGCAGTTGAACAGCAACATAGAGTAGATGAGCTCAGGAATGCCCTGGGTAAATACTGAGAAAGAAGAATTTCCTGAAGGGTTGTATAAATCCAATGAGTAACATTCAGTTTTTGATATTTTCATAAATTTAAAACACTATTTGTTGAAAAGGACAGTCACAGTCATTGTGAGATCACATCACATCCAGTACAGGACAGCACAGCAAGAGCTACAGTGTATAGACAGGAACAGCTCCTAGCAGGGCCATGAGACCAATTGTCTCAGGAGCCAACCCCCACTCTCCTGCCAGAGAGCTTCTCTTGCAATCTTAACACTGTTGAGTCCTTTATGCACATCATCCTCATGGTACTGAGTTTTTTTGTTTTGTTTTGTTTTGTTTTGTTTGTGGTGCTGGGGATTGAACCCAGGGCTTTGTGCATGCAAGACAAGCACTCTACCAACTGAGCTATATCCCCAGTCCCCATACTGAGTTTTTAGACCCAACACTAATAAGTCTCTTTATATTATTTTACCATGTTTTAGTCAACTTTTTTGCAGTTGTGACTAAAAGATCTGACCAGAACAATTTCAGAGGAGGAAAAGTTTATTTGGGGGCTCACAGTTTCAGAGGTCTAAATCCACAGACATCTGGTTCTATTCCTCGGGGCTCCAGGTGAGGCTGAACATCATGGCAGAAGAATGTGGCAGAGGGAAGCAGTTCACATGATGATGAGAAAACAAAGAGAGAGAGACTCCATTCACTAGATACAAAATATTTACCCCAAAGCCATACCCCCCAATGCCCACCTTTTCAGCCATACCCTACCAGCCTCCAGTTACCACTCAGTTAATCACATCAGGGGATCAATTCACTGATTGGGTTAAAGTTCTCATAACCCAATCATTTTACCTCTAAGCCTTCTTGCATTGTCTCACACATGAGATTTGGGGGAGACAGCTCACATCCAAAATATAAATATCCCCACAAGAAAATTATTTCTTAATACTCTTTTCCAATTTCTCTCTTGAGGATAGCTTTCCTTCTACAACCAAATGTCATCTTCATCCTAATTATGGGAAATAATAGGGGGATGTTAATTTTTACCTCGATATGAATAGTATAAGAAAAGCATTAGATCCAGGGGAAATGAGTACCAAGAAAGAAGATGTAAGCAATTAACTTGGCAGCGCTGGGGGTATCCACTTTTATCTCTTTAAACAACTTCAAAGGCAAACCTGGAAAAGGGCAGGCACATCCCCATGAGTGTTTAAACATGGCTGAAATATTGCAAAATAAAATAAAGCTGATTATCATAGATGAGCACGCGTGCTATTTACCTTTGGCAAGCCTTTTTCTGAACTTGAACAATGGATTTCCAATATTCCACCACTGGGTTGATTCATAAAAATTTCAGAGACTCTGGATCATAAGTGCAGTGTCCACTCAAAAATTTTAGTCCTTTCTTCACAAATCAATGTGAAAGGCTGTTAAGGTGAGCACAGAGACCCATGCTCAGTTTCATATTCCAGAATGGTATTTGTGGAACTTAACAGGTTGGAGAGAATATGTGGGGGATTGCATATTCTAGTAACAAATGTACATCTTCTCTATCACTGTCCTTCTAAATTGTATTATTATGTTCCCAACTAGAGTTTCTTAGTCTACCATAGTCACAGAATGCACAGTGATACAACCAGGGAATAAGACAACTGTATGCCTCTCCTATATGGATAAGAATTAAAGGAGCATACAATTAAAGACTATTAAGACTGTATCCATTATGAATTTTATTTATCATGAACTACAAGATTTCTTTTCCTGGTCCTATAGTAAGCCTGTTACCAACAACTGAAGTGGACAGCACAAGTCCAAGAACAGAGAGTGATCTTTATTTGAGTGCAAAGAGAAGAGTCAGGTGTATGATCCAAAAACTCCCAGAATGTGTGATTCCAAAGGGAAAGGAAGGAGAATGTAGGGCAGGGGTCTGTATGAGCAACTGGTTTCCTGCTACTCTCTTCTTGGCCAGAACAACTTTTTTTTATTGCCACTACCCTTCTATCCCAACAGAGCCTCCCCAGAATTCACTCATCTCCATGTATTTCTTCTGTTGGGACTGGATGTAAAGACAGAAACTTTAAAGGACACCCTCTCCTCCATAAATCACCAACTAGACAAAAATACAACCCATTCACCAGTTACTTCTCTTCTCAAAGGACTCTATTTACATGTTTTTATCAAATATATTACAAGGGGGAAGGCTTCAGGAAGTTGGCAAGCCTCAGTTACTATCTCATGGTTTTACTGAAGTTGAACAATGAGAATGAAAAGGTGGCATATCCCCAAGAAGAATGCCGGGAGAAAACTACAAAAGCCTCTTTGTTGAGGGTATTGTTCCTAAAAAACACAAACATTGATCCCAAACTGCAAGGTTGCAGTTTGATTTAATAAGTTTACCACAGAATCACAAATACAACAAGTAACAAAAGAAAAGAACAAAGTTTCTACAAGAATGTGCTGAACATAAACAGCTCTCTCATTGTGCATAACCACAGTGAAATTTCATTATGATGGAATTTTTAAACTGCCTGTACTGCTGTTCATCTCCTTCATGCTTTATCTAAGAATTACAGCAATTTGAACAATAAAAAAATTACCCATTGTGATTTCTTAAGAAAGGTGCAGCTCTTTATTTCCAAAATGCTCGTTTATATAATGAATGACTTTGGGCTTGCAGGGATATGTTCACCTGATTATGTGACACAATTATAGGGCATGAATCTACCAGCAATGATTAAATCTTAGACACAGATCTGGAACAATTGCTCAAGCAACATGCAAAAAATACTGTGTGATTAAATTAGTATGGGATTGGTAACCAAAAATGCTGTGTAAAAATCATTGTTTGGCCTGACATTTTTCTGAGAAAAACCAACATATCTTTCTTAGAAATCACAGAATCTTTTTAGAGAAAGAGATTAAAGACAATCTTTAATAGGATACTGATTTATACGGACTTGCCTAGGATTTTCCTGGCTTTATCACTAAAAATCCCAAGTCTTACAAAAACCCCAAGTCTTAGCCAAACTGGGATAGCTGGTCCCTGTACTCATTGGATTCACAAATCTCTTCACTAATATAACCTACATGAGACTTAGCTTTCTCAGGGTTCTTTTCTACACCATGAGTCAAAATCAGTGTCCCTATAACCTATTCCTGTCCTGTCTTCTATGACAAAATAAAAGTTTATTCCGTCTTTTATTTGGAAGCTCTGAGTTTCCAAAGATTGCCTTCCCATCTCACATTTCCCCAGTCTATTCTATATTCTCTAGGTTAAGTTGATCCTGTTCCTTCATTTGCTCCTTGAGTGTTCTTGTTGCACTCATAATCTTGGTACTCTCCATTGAGCAGACTCATCTGTCCAGATCCCTCCAAGAATGACATCCCAAACCGAACTCAAGCCTCTGCACATTGCCTGAGCAGTCTATGTAGCCCTGTCCTCTCTTGGGTGTCATGTTCCCAGGTGGACAAACTGACATTCCTCCAGCTCATTTGGCCACTACATCCCCTTATTCAATAATAGCACTGTTCATGGAGAGCCATGGAGATTTTTTCACATGGTGTTATTCAAAGGCCATCCCATAGTTGTGCAACTGCTCTTGAGATTCAAACATTACACATTGACCCTTTAGAGTGAACTCATAATTCCAGCCCATGGTTCCAGCTTTGGCTCATAATTCTATCACCCAAATTACTCACTCCAGTAACTTGCTTCCAGGTTCATGTAGCCCGCAAGTGTTTTCTACATGTCAACATCCGCAGTCATTCAAATCGTTGGCAGAAACATTGACTAGGTCAGGGTGGAAAACCAAATGATTAATCAGTGCATTTCCTGCATAAAGGCAAGTATTCACATGGGTCCTTCATTTTGAAATATTCTCTAGGGGTTCCCTTACAGATTTTAAAAGTTTAAATCAGGAAAGAAAGTACAAATACACTGTAATTAATATGCCCTTCATTTTCAACCAGCAACTTTCTTCTCCTTTACGGTTAGCCTACACCTTTAGTGAAAAAAACATACAGAACGCTCACCAGGAGCCTGGAACCTAGCAGACAACGGAGTGTGAATCACTGCTGCAGTGTATCCTGTGTCCCTGGCTCCTCTCTCTCAGCACTTGTTAAGGTTGCCCTTGCCCAACCCTTTTGAAGTCAGGCCTGTCCCTTGGACCTGTACTAGTGAGTGACACACATGTGGAATGATGTGCTTTCTTCTTTTATTTGTTCTAATTAGTTATACATGACCATAAAACGCATTTTGACACATCATACATAAATGGAGTACAACTTCTCATTCTTCTGGCTGTGCGTGAATGATACGCTTTTACACACTGACAGAAACTTCAAAAGCTGGCAGCAGAGTTCCTCATGCTTCCTCAGGGAAGCGGGTGTCAGGATGAAGCTTTCATCAACTTGGGTGCCTGAGAGAACACAAGGATCAGAGTACCTTTGCTGACCCGCACAGTTAGGTAGGTAGAGAAGGAAATAAAGCCCCTGAGACTTGAGGTGCTTAACTACTGCTGTATGACTTTGCCTACCCTGAATATTACACTTAGGATACAGAAGTAGAAAAAGACCTGGTTTCTTGTTTATAAGAAGCTTATAGTGGGGGCTGAGGATATAGCTCAGTTGTTAGAGTGTTTGCCTACCATGCACCAGGCCCTGGGTTCAATTCCCAGCACCACCAAAAAAAAAAAAAAAAAAAGAAGAAGAAGAAGAAGAAGCTTAAAGTGTAGATGAGGAGAAAAATCATATTCATAAAATAAAAGTAAGGACTAAATTAACATAAAGCAAAAATCTAAATTACAAAGTAGAGATAAGTAGCAAATAGGATGTGATGCCAAGAGTGAGCCACTAAGACAAAACATTCAAAAAGAGTAAAGGGCTTATGGTTCTCAGAAACATTTCATTTCCACTAAATAAAAGAAAGCTTAAAATTATAGAACTTATTAAAAAGTATTATAGGAAATGGTTCCACAAATATAGTGACTCCTCTTTTAAAACTGCAATAAAGGTGTAGGTTTAATTTATGGGGCCATTTTCCATGTATTTGATTTTAGCCTTTTCAACAGCCAGCACTAATAAGACATTTAGTGTTTTTTAATCAACATCTTATAGGTCCCTGTCCTTCAGAAATGGACAGATTTAACACTTTACTAAGACAGGGTAATCACTCTTTCCAGCAGTTTTACGGGAACCTCAACAATTTGGGTAATACAGATAAAATGGAGCTGATTTTAGCACTCACTCAAGATATGATTTACTTTATTTCAGAGAAATGCCCATCATTATAAGTACAAAGGTAAATATTGGCCTGAATACTCAATATCAATTAAGGTGATATAACAAAAGTATGACTTTGTTTATTTTAAAAATATATTCAGCCTCTCCTCTCCATGGATGGGGGAAGTTTTATATTAATTGGAACAGTCATTCACTCATTCAACAGAGATTAACCAAGGGATTGTACCAGATGCTGGCCATTCATCAGTGGGCAGAATAATTCAACAAGTCCTCAGAGAACTTATCATCTAGAGGAGTGTGTTAGTTAGCTTCCTGTCACTTGATGGAAATACCTGCAATAGTCAACTGATAAAGTTTATTTTGTCTCACAGTTTTGAAGTTCCCAGCCTTGTTCCTTTGGGCCTATGATGACATAGCACATCATAGTGGGGGTGCATGGCAGAGCAAAATCACTTACCTCATGGCCAGGAAATGAAAGAGAAAAAGAAGAAGAGATTGAGAACTCACTGTGCCCTCCAGCAGCATGCCCCCAGAGACCAAAGGGCCTCCCACAAGTCCCTACCTCTCAAAGGCCCCACCACCTCCCAAAAGCCCCACCCTGGGGACCAAGCCTTTAACAACACATGGACTCTGGGAACATTCAAGCTCCAAACTGTAGCATTCTGCCCCAATTTCCAAAAGAGCCATGTCCATCTCACAATATAAAAATGCGGGGCTAGGGATGTGGCTCAAGCGGTAGCGTGCTCGCCTGGCATGCGTGCGGCCCAGGTTCGATCCTCAGCACCACATACAAACAAAGATGTTGTGTCCGCCGAAAACTAAAAAAAATATTAAAAAATTAAAAAAAAAATAATAATAAAATAAAAATGCCTTCATTCCATCCATGAAAGTTCCCAAAAGTCTTAATTGTTCCAACTACTCAAAAATTCAAGACCAAAGCCTATTCTAAGACTCTACGCGAATACAGCTAGAAGCCCCTATAAAAATCAAAAAGAAAGTAACACACTCCCAAGGTACATTGGTGGATGGGCACAGAGTATACATTCCCATTTCAAGAGAGAGAGAGAGAGGAACAGGGGAACTGGTCTACCACCTTTAACAGATCAGCCCAAAGTACCACCAAAACCTAACAGCTAAATATTAAATCCTAAATCTCCTTTTTCAGCACCTACAGCACACTGTAGTGGAATGTGGGTTCTTACACCTAGGCATCCTTGCCTCTTTTGTCTTTCTGGTTGTATCCCAAATGGCCATTTTTTCAGACTGACTTTGCACGCTGCCTGTAACTTTACCTGATGGTCAATGCACATTGCCACTACCTCTACCCTTCTGGGTTTTTCACAGAAGCTTTGGCTTCATTCTCATAGCCCCACACTTTGCCCTGTCAGGGGCTGCTTGCAGGTATTCTCACCTCACAACACACTGCCTGGCCTTCCAAGTTTTCCTTTGAAATCTTGGTGGAAGCCTCCATGACTCCATAAGTCTTACATTCTACATGTCTGTAAAACCACCGTCTGGTAGACAATGCCAAGGCCTGTGACCAGCATAAGCTATAACTGGGCTGCTTGAACCACCCCTGTAGTGGCCTCCGAGTGCCTTGCCAGATGACCTTAGGGAAAAAATCCAGGGTGAATAATTCCCTTAGGTGGTCCTAGGCAGGCAGTCCCAAGGTTCCTTGCTAAAGAAATAGAAAGTCTTTCAACAAATCTGCATTTTTACACCTTTGAACCTAAGATTCCAGAGGTAGCCTTGCAGATTCCTGGGATGCCCTTGAGGCATCTTTCTTATTGTACCTTGGAAGGCACTTGGCTTTTTGGTTTCTTTTTCTGAAGGCTAGCAATTGGACCCTCATGATGTCACCTTTACATATCCTCCTCTTGGTCAAACTGCAACCTTTTCAGAAACCTTCTGCTCCGTTCCTGTTTGGTTCTGATTCTAACTATAAATTTACCTAACAGCAACCAGACCCACCCTGCTGCCTGAATGCTTTTACCTTGAAATTTCCTCCTCCAGATAAACTAATCTACCACCTTTAAGCTCAGCCTCCCACAAAGTATAAGAACCTGGACAAAATGCAATAAAAATCTTTGCAAAAGTATTAACAAAGGATGCTGCCCCTGATAAGATGTCCAGTGAAGTTCTCATTTCTATTTGCAACCTCATCAGTATAGCCTTTAGAGTCACATTTATATCAGAGACAGGAACTTCTGGCCTAGTGACAATAGAAATGAAAACTAGTCAAGGTTTTCACATAGGCAAGGCTTTAGTTGGGTGAGAGGGAGGGGTTATCTCAAGAAGAGGGGAGACAGCACTGAGACACAGATTAGGCGATTCCCCAAATAAGGTAAGGGACAAGCCCTTTATTGGGTATCATGGTTTAGATGTGAGATGTCCCCCAAAAGCTCATGTATGAGACAATGCAAAAGTATTTAGAGATGAAATGATTGGGTTCTAAGAGGTTCAACCTAACCAGTGCATTAATCTCGATAGGAAATAACTTGGTTGGTAACTATAAGCAAGTAGAGCGTGGCTGGAATAGGTGGGTTCCTCCATGGAGGAATGCTTTTGGGGTTAATATTTTGTCCTAGTGAGAAGTGCTCTCTCTCATTCAGGCTCTCCCTCTCTGTGCTTCTAGGTACATATTTCCTCCGCTATAACCTTCTGCCATGATGTTCAGCCTCACTTGGAGCCCTGAGAAATGGAGCCAACCATCTATGGATTGAGGCCTCTTAAACTATGAGACCCAAATAAACTTTTCCTTCTCTATGCTGTTCTTTTGGTTACAATAGCAAAAAAGCTGACTAAAACACTGGGTTACTTATTCATCGTTATCTCAGTTCTGGTTTTGCTAGGTGGCTCTGGAGAAGTCCTTATCACTGGAGGAGACAATCTTCATTTTGTTTTATAGGATATTTCTGTGTCAAACCTATAATCCTGGAAGGAGGGCCAATTTGATTGTCCTAAGGTGATTGTTCCTATTTAGGAGGATAGTCTCATCAAGGCACAATCTGCCTGCTATGTTTTATTCCTAGAAGGCATAGGGCAATGACATAAGACTTATAAGCATCTCTTCAGGGGGCCTGAGTCAGGACACTATAAAAGCTGGCAGTTGAGTATCCCTTGAAGGTATCTTAGTTGCTCTTATCTTAGTGTCTTTAGCCTTGAAGGTGAATGAGATAGGTTAGATAAGTTCTGGGCTAATAAACCTTGTGTTAGCAGGTTTCAGACAGATAACCTTAACTGAGCAGGAATTTGACTCAATGTTTAAGGTAGTAAAGGAAACAGATAAAATGAAGGCAGATACCAATCTTTTATCCTTCCTTTAGTTACTCATCAACTGAAGTCATTGCTTTTTAGTAACAGCAATCTCTCAATAAGTTCCTGTTACAATTAGGGCCCCAGCTTGTTCAGTTTTGTGGTACTTCAAATGGGTATGAGTTAAAGCCTCAGGAGTATATCTGTCTCTTTGTTCCTGTGGTGATCCTAACTATTTCAACAATCCCATCAGCATTCTGGTCCTCTGAGCCCCAACCAGAGTTGTTCTGGAATGTTGTCAGTTCTGCTTACAGCATTCTAGGCTTTCTCTAGTCACTCCTCCAAACTCTTCCAAATGCCTCCTATAAACCAAATTCCAAATGCTTCTCCATATTGTCAGGTATATAGTAATAGCAAAGACAGCTCCACTCCTTGGTACCAATTTTCTATGTTTCTAGTAATTTTCATCACTGTAACATCTGGGGTAATCAGCTTAGAAAGAAAGAAGTTTGATTGGGAGTCACAGTTTTGGAGGTTTCAGTTCATGATTGGTTGGCTCTATTACCTTGAGCTTGTGGGAAGGTAGAATATCATGGCTGGAGGACATGGCAAAACAAAATCACTCACCTTTTAGCCAGGAAGTGAAAGGGAGGAAGAAGAGGACACCAGGGTCCCACAGTTCCCTTCAGGAACATGCCATCAATGACCAAAGACCTCCTCCAACGCCCCTCCCCTCAGTTTTCACCACCTCTCAATAGCACCACTTTGGAGGTCATTCAATACCCAAACTATAAGAAGGAGGAACAGGCAGAATATGGGGAGGCAATGAAGAAGGACCTTCTCAGTAAAGGGTATACTGTGAGTTCCCTACCCTAAGCCAGGAAAGGGATGAATGTTCAAAGAAGTCAAATTCCAGTGTGTGTCAATCAAGCATGGTAAGTGGGAAAGAAAGTAGCTTGAGACAAAGTTACCATTGGGTAGACCACATGGGCCTAATAGCACCTGTTAGAGATTTTTTTTTTTCATTTTGTCTCAAATCCCTTCAGAGTTTTGAACAGTGGGTGTGACATAATTTCCATGTTAAAAGCCATTGTGTGAAGAATGGATTAGAAGGGGTTATGAAAGAGATGGGGGATTAAGATGAATTATAGCAATAGTCTAGGCAAGAGTTAACA